GCCACCACCCCTGTTATAAATTAGAACCCCTAGGGTACACCTTCTTGAAGAAGAGGTTTGTATTTCTCTATGCAAGGATTTCCCACTCAGTAAAACAGGATACAATATGCCATTCAGACTGCTGTATGTTTTTGAATGTCATGTGAAGTTTGTTAAAATGTATTGTGTTCATAATTGTGTGTACTTTTGTTAATCCAGAAGATGCAGCTATTAGTGAGGATCACGGAAACAAGGAAAACAAAGCAGAAAATACAAAGAACGCAGAAAATGTAAGAGACCCGGAGAACGTAGAAAACTCAGAGAATGTTACAGAGGAACCAAAAACTTCAGGCAAGATTTAACCTTCTAATGTCCTACCCTATCAAAATTGATTTCCTCAAAAGTATATGAATCTGTTTCTTTTGAATTGCTGTTTTATTATATAATTGTTTTTTTTTAATTTCATTAATACTCATTTTTTTTATGTATTTCAGATGAATTAAAACAAAGCAAAAATATGAGAGATGATGGGGGTGCCAATAATTCTCCTGACCAAACTACAGATATTAACAGTGAAGACAAGCAAACTACCTTAGCCACCAATGTGTCAGATATTCAAGATGACACTCAAGCAGCAACAGGTGGAGTTGAAGCAAATGCCAATGTTAACAACTCTGCAGACGATAAAGTGGCAGACACAAAAGATGAAGATAACAGTGTTCCATTGGCATCCGGAGAACAAGAAGAAAGACAGGATGATACTGCAGCAGAGCAAGAAGCTACACCAATGACTGATGATATAAATGAAACAGAAAATCTGACCATTGATGGAGCTGATGGTGGAGTTTCCTCTAAAAGCCAAAAGGCTGATGGGGTTGTCCAAGAGAAAACTGTAACTGAAAGAAAACAGAATGTGGAAGGAGAAACTGGTAAAGGGAATTTAGAAAGTAATGGTAAAAAGGATCAAGAATCAAAAGAGAATGCAACTGTTGACCAAGCGACGACAGCAGCTTCAGATACACTGCCAGTTGAAGATGCTTTACCAGCTCCACCTACAATAGCTGCAGACGGTACATCAGAACCTACAGAGACTTTAACAGCAGCTGCAGAGTTAGTATTAGAACTAACTGCACAAGGTACTAATGTTTCACAGAATGTTGACAGAGAACAACCAGGTGATGAAGGCACCATAGAGCCAGCAACTGAAGAAGTGAATAGAGGAGATGAACAGCAAATACCAACAAATTTCTTCTACGATGTGATGGAGCTACAGTCTGTTGCCAAAATATCTGAAGATTCAGGACTACCAAAGGATATGCTGAAAATTCAGTATCCTTTAAGTGATTTTTTTGGTTTTAAATAGCTTGTTCTGATGTAAACGTTCATTAGTATGATATGTAAAATCATAGTGGTCAATTTAAACATGATTATTTCCATTTTGAAGGTTATGATCAATAAAATTTATTTTTATTATTGTTCATGATAATAAGAACAAACCAACATCGTCTACATGATTTTTAGTCTATTAAGACCATACTTTTTGTTCTGCTTCCTATGCATATTTAAGTTCTTTAGGAATTTATTATAATTACCATTCAATCAATTAGTACTGTATATGTATCTCAAAATTAGTAAAATAAATATTATCTCAAGTTAATAAAAATGTTAAAGCAAGTCAAAATTGTGTTAAAACTTATATTTTGATACTGTTGATGTTTTTCCTTATGCAATGAACCCTAGCCATTCGTTTGGTTATGATTGTCTGAAACATCATAATCTCCTGATGTTGGATGGCAACACTCTCCTCTTCATAGCAGGTAACATGGTGCAGCTGTTGAACATTGTCACCAAGGAACAGAAGTACTTACGCAGTACCAGTGGTGGAGGCATTGGAGCAATTGCTGTAAGCACAAAACCTCATTAAGATTTTGTTTAATATGTACAGTACTGTCTGTGTTGAATCTTAGGTTGTGTTCAGACGTGAGAGATAAGTAAACGTAGCTAAAGCAAGGTGTGCAACTCATGTCTGAACACATTCAATATTTAGTTATTAGCTTTCACTTAATATTTAGATCATACTGAATAAACAGACAAACTAAATCAAATCTCTCTTAATTTTTCATGTGCACCATTAAATTGGCAGGCATCTCATGTTTTATGAAATTTTCTATCTATAGGCCTACAATCATAGCTTTTCTACTATAGCTTTATATTTTCACATTAAATTATGTTGTCAAATTTTGGTTGATAATTTTTATAATTTTAGATTTTAACAAACTTCCATATGTTGAAACAGGATTGCTAGGAGTAATTAAACTAATCAAATAATTGAAAACAGCTTAAAATTCAAAAATATAGTTTGTATATTATGTAATAGAAATATAAACATTCATTTTTTAATGTGACCATTCACCAGCTTATGGAAATTTCAATGCACTTCAACTTTTATTTTATAAATAGGTTCACCCAAGTGGCAAGTATTTTGCCATTGCAGAGAAAGGAGTTTTGCCAAATATTAACATATACGAGTTTCCATCTCTAAGACTGTACCGCATCTTACGGGAAGGTACAGAGACAGCATACGCACACATTGACTTCAATCCATCAGGCACCTTGCTTGCTTCTGTGGGTTCCAGTCCAGATTTCATGCTCACCCTATGGAACTGGACAGAGGAGATGATCATGTTGCGATCCAAGGCTTTCTCTCAAGATGTCTTTCGTGTCACGTTTTCACCAGACAATGAGGGGCAGCTGACAACGAGTGGTATTGGCCATATAAGGTATCTTTCTCTTAATGATTTCTATGATTGTGAAATTATGACCAAACACATTGAACTGTCAATTTTTCAAAATAAAAGAATATAAACCATAGATGACAGTTTGTTGGTAAAGTATTTTAATTGAACAGTTTTTTACAGTTGAAAGTAGTGAAAATCTGCTATCGCTGGCAAATAATCGATCTACTTGGAATAATATTTGCAGAAACACTATGCTGTAAGCCGAAAGCGGATTAATTTGATGAATGTATATTTTGGTTAGCGTGGTGACAAGAAATACCTTAAACATACTTTATAATAATAATAATAATAAACATACTGTTGATAATATAGGCCTATGCTTCTATTTTTTTTATTCCAGATTCTGGAAAATGGCGAATACCTTCACTGGCTTAAAACTTCAGGGACAGTTGGGTAAGTTTGGTCGCACAGCCATCTCTGACATCCGTGGCTATGTGGAACTACCAGATGGGAAAGTACTTTCAGGAACCGAGTGGGGAAACATGCTATTATGGGATGGTGGGTTGATCAAAGTGCAGATTTCACGTAAGCATAAAAAACATTGTCATGCTGGACCTATTGAGCAGTTTGTAATGGATGAGGGGGAGCTGATTACTATTGGAGCTGATGGATTTATTCGAGTAAGTGTTGTTAATTATTTTGTATTGTTGATGTGTTTATTCATCCATCCATTCACCCACTCATTTATTTATTTTCTTTCATTCCTTATTTTGCTTCGTTCATTATAATTTTTTTATTCATCTCTCTGTCCATCAATGTATTTGCTATTCATTCATTATATTTTTTTAATCCTCCATTCATTCCTTCATTTATTTACTGTATTCATTCATTTTCTTATTCATTCATTCTTTTATTTCACTCTTTATTAATCCATTTTTAAATTTCGTTTTGAAGGTCTGGGATTTTGAAAGTATAGATACTGCGGATTCTCCTGATGATTCCGGAATCTTTGAGATGGAACCGATGAACGAATTGAAAGTAGGGAATGATGTCTATCTACGCTCAATGATCAAATCGCTAGATCCTGAGGTGCAAAGCATTTGGTTTGCTCAGGTAAAAACAGTGTTGTATCTCTAAAATAGAGTGAAAATTGCAAAAATACCACCTGTGTTAACTTATGGAAGTGTTGATAATTGTTTGATTCTCTTGCTTTATTATATTAATATATTTATTGGTATTATTGTTATTCATAAATTTATTTGTATTTCTTTTGTTACTTTTATCATTATCGAATATAGTATCCATAAATTTGTTGAATGCAACTGTTACATATTGTACTTTTAAATGAAATGCTGTTTTTCTCTTAGGATGCTAATGGTGCCATATGGAAGTTGGATTTGTCTTTTTCTCACACTACCAAGGATCCAGAGCGGCTGTTTTCATTCCATTCTGGTGCTATAAATCAGACTGTGTCATCAACCGTATCACAGCTAGTTGCAACAACCGGTGCTGATCGTAAGTATGCTTATTGACAGCCTTTTGATCTATTTCTTATTTGTTCTTATAAGTTTTAATTTTAGCTTTTAAGATTTGCAAATATTTTTCTGACAACAATGTGGTTTGTCACGTCTGTGTAACTTATATTACATGCTTGATGCCATATATATTATTGAGAATACTCCGGGAACATCAACTAATTGGTGTTATTTTAATGTACAGTTTTATGTGCCTATATCTAGATACCGTTTTTGTGTATTTTGTGGTTTTGTGTATTAAATGTTTATCACTTTGTAGATACGGTTAGAGTGTACGACTACAGCTCCAAAAAACCATTATGTCAAACCAGGTTCAATGCAGGTGGATCGTCATTGCTATGGATACCAGAAATTGTAAGTGTTCTATTCGTAATATTTACAAGGTTTTGAATTCAAGATCAAATAACTTATAACTCGCAGCGGCACTGCTGAATTGCTTATGGGCGTGGTCTATGATTACTATGAGTATTAAATTATAGCACCTGATAAAAGCATGTTATTGTCATTTATCAAATGCTTTATTAGCCACATTATTTATAATAATTATTGACCAATCATATCCGTAATTAGTAGTTTTTTGTATGCTTGTGATATCCAGTGGGTGTGTCCAAATCTCAATGGGCTTATTAATTCAGACCAGGCAATATAAAAACTATGTATCACAGCTAATGGCAAGATGGAATTAGTTATATGAACATTTTAGCATATGTAGCCTTTGATAAATAATATAACTGCCTATAAAAATAGCAATTTGATTATTTTGTTTTGTTTATGTGGCTGTTTTGATTCAGGTGATTATTTTACTTGATTATTTTACTGATAACATTTGAAGCATTGAAACAATCTCTCTAATTTTGGAATATAGACTGCTTCTTCTGTAAGTTGTTGGGCTTTTAGTTTTCAATTTTTAAACTTTTAATTTTTTCAACAGATTGATCCAAAAGGCCGAACAATCTTGGCCGGGTTTGAAGATGGTGTGGTTCGTGTTTTGACAGTTTCCAAACGTGATCCTAAAAACCTTACACCAGTAAAATGGCAATCACAGGCAACAGATGCTCAACTGTTGCTCAAGCAAGCGTTTAAACCACAGAGTTCAAAGGTCACCTCAATGGCAATAGACTCGAAAGGGGAGTTTCTGTGTACTGGGGTGAGTTCAGGTGTTTCAAATTTTTGCAGTTATATCTCAGTTTTATTGTTATAATTATTGGCATCATCTTCACCATAACAATTATAATAATCATCATTGTCACCCTCCTCATCATCATGAGATCAGCATCATCATGATCTTCATCAATAATCATCAGCACCACCACCAGCTGACCACCACCATTTTCTTCAAAATGTATCATCATCTATATCAAGAACCATCATCACTATTAATAATCATCATCATTACCATCATCGTCATCACCAAGATTACTATCATTGGCATTATTATTGTTGTCATTACATAATCTCGGTCAATTTTAAAATCATCTCGGCATATGTGTGGCATTCATTAATGATTGTCAATTTTGTTAAAATCTATTAGGAAAAAAAAGGTGCTGATTAGAAGAAATATATTTATCTACTTTCTAATCAGATAAAAATTTCTTGTAACGATAATATTGAGTTGTTTTGTTGTACATGTAGGGTGCTGATAGCACAGTATTCTTCATGACTATTGGGGATGTATATAAACCTATTGGCTTTGTGGATGTTCCAGGGCCAGTAACCCACATGACCTGGTCACCTTCACACTATGTAAGTTTCAAAACATCAGTTTTTGTTATTGTAAAATTATTACTTTTTAAATTTCTACAAAGTAGCTTCTTAAATGTCTTCTGATTTTTGTCTATATTCCATGTGCAATGAAATTCTCGGTAAGTGCAAACCTTAAAATGTTGAGGTTGTAGGTTCAATGCAGGATTTTGTTCTTTTGTGATTATAAATAAAAAACAGCTCCATTCACTAAGCCTCATAATGAGATTGTTCCATTCTGAAATTACTAAGAGTACTTGTTGTTGGATATGAAAGAATTTTTAATGCAAGTAAAAAAATAATGTAAATAAATCTAAAAATTTATATTATTTATATTCATTACTTGGTTACAATGTATATTTATCTATTAATGTATTCTATGTTTTATTTTAGAATTATTAGGAATACTTTTTTGCAAATGTATTCTATGTACTCTGTTTTTTCTTAGGAGAGAAATACAGTGCTTGTGTTCTGTGCGAATGGTGAGGTTGTTGAGATTGAAGCACCAGATGCCGACTCCTACGACACTTCAAAAACCTTTAGACTGAACAATGTCAAGATGAGGAATGCCACTTTTAAAAGTGTCAAGTCAAAATTGAGGGTAAATAAGATGATGTAACTACTCTTTAGGCTGAATAATATAAAAGTAACAAAAGTCCTTATATCAACATATATACTTGGTTTCACACATATTTCTAAAAAAGAAAGATAAATAAGTTTGATTTTACACTAAAATTAGGTCCTCATCATCTCATTGTTTTTTGTTTTTTTTATTATCTAATTTGCCATCAAGACAGAACCAATGAACATGAGTGTTTTAGCATGGCAGATTAATTGCTTGTTACATGTGCCCGGACTGCTGTTAACTCACCGATTGGTCCATTGGGATTGATGTTATAGTACATTTGTTTCCATTACCGTAAAACCTGGAATAGAAGCCCCATGGGCTTAATCTCAAGAAGAAGCCCTCCCCCCTCCCTCTTCAGTTTGCAAAAGTAATCTCGATTAGAAGCCCATGAGCTCTTTTCAAGATAATATGGCTTTTCTTGAGATAGCACTTACATTATTGACATTCTTTTTGATGATTATGATAGTGTGTCAGCATGGTTAAACTTGATAAAATATTAAACAGAATTTTAAATGCCATAGTTGTAAAAATGTCAAATAATCCAAGGGTTCTAAAAAAGAAGCCTAGGCCTTCTATTTGAGGGTTTACAGTATATCTCTACTATACCGATTGCAAATATTGATCTGCATGCAAAAAATATTCAATCAATGTTACACAGAATTGTGTGTGAGTACTATGCTGCTGTGATAGCACTGAATAGTCCATTGGGATTGATTTTATAGTGCATTGTTTCCAATATACTGTATCTATACTTGGCTATACTGATTGCAGCTGTTAATCAACAAACAAAAAATAATCAGTGTTATACTACATGTGTGAGTAGTAAGCTATTTATTGATGTCATTAATATGAATGTTCAAATATCAGGCACTTAATAACCTTTTATTTATAGAGTAATGTTATAGGTATAGTACTGCTGTATTCAGCTGTATCAAACTAAAGCAATTAATTGAGACAAAATCTAAGGGGAAAGGAACTAACCTAATACATAAATAAATAAATAAACAAAAGCTAACCTAACAGTCAAGGGATAAAAGTTAAGATTCAAGTTAAAATTCAACATTCAACAGGGACGGGAGAGAGGTATTACCAGTACAACCAAGTTCTCAATCGAGTTGACCACAGAAGCAGAAAGGTTTGAGTTAGTAAAAAGTAATAATGGTAATGAGACCAGAAATTCTATTAACAATAATTGGCCTAATAATAATAATAAATATAATAATGATGATAATATTTCTAATGACGCATAGATTAGCAACTGTTCAAGACCACACATAATATAAAAGCATAAGCAATAATGGGATAAAGTAAAGCTCTCAATATAAATTCAAAAGTTTTCTTTTAAGTTTCATTTTAAAACTGATTAAAGAAGATTACAGTCCAAGTTATCCCATATTTCAGGGGCAATATAAATAGTATTGAGGCTAGTACATTTCAGTTTTCTCTTTTTATTTTTAAGTTTACTTTTACCCCTGGTGTTGTAATTGTCGGGATGTGATTCATTTGCAAGTACACAAATTAGTTTACTATTTAATGCATTAGTGACAGAATATATAGCAATTCCATACTGTTTCAGTACTGTACTTTCCTATTTAGACTTGTGAATAATAGAACAGTCCAGTTTTATGGATCTGGATTTATTGTACTCCAAACATATAGATACCCACATTTACATCAGAGTTTTATTGACCTGACACCTGTTAAACAGTTCAAAAACCTACCGGAAGTGAAGTTTAATTTGAGTTTTGAAGCTTTTAAAATCTGTGATATCCAATACTCAGGGGATTTTACAACAATTAAAGAACATCAATACGGTAACATTTTTGCAGATGGCAAGAATTATCGAAGAATTAAAACGATTAAAAAATGATCACTCCATTGAAAAATCTACTATTGTCAGAGCAGAAGGATCCAACATCTGGGGGTCCTTATTGTAACCTTTAACCTCCCGTTAATGTATTTGTCTTGTACATAATTATTCTAATGAGCTATAATTTGTCCTTGTTTAACAGAGAAAAGAAGAAGAAAAGAGAAGAGAGGAAGAAGAAGAAAAGAGAAGAATAGAAGAAGAAAAGCAACGAAGAATCCGAAGAGAACGTGGTATTGAATCGGATGATGAAGATGATGATAAGAAAGGTAAAGATGTTATGTGGTTGTATTATAGATTTATAGTGAAAGTATGGGGAAAAAAATTTCTCATGTAAAAGGAAAAATTAACTTATCAACTTTTAAGGAAACACAGAATTTATTTTTGAAATTTGTAAATTACTAGCGATTTTAAGAGTACATACAAAAATTTTGTTGTCAGTAATATTCATGCCATATTCATGCATCTGTTAATAGGGAGGAAAATATTTTCTCTTGCAGAAAAAGAAGAAGAGGAGTTGCTACCCCCTCTGTTCATACCAGAGGAGGCTAGCCCCATTCACTGCGGTTTCTACACTCCCAATGATCCAAACAAGTTCTGGGTTTCAATGGTGCATTCATAATATTATTAATTTCATTCATTGATCCAAAATATTTCTAAGCTTAGCTAAATTTTATATTGTTATAATTGACTAGTCTGTTTGTCACTTGCCTGTTGGTTGGTCATTTAATCAATAAGCTAACAAATTCAAATTGCCGTTCCACATTAAGTAATCATTCAGCTAGACTCAGCAGCTAAATAAGATTAATGTATATTTTCAGCAGCCGTTTAATCTGTCTGTTGGACTGTTGGTTAGTCAACCAACGCTTACTCCACCTTTCGGAATTGCATTATATTCAGGTTGTTGTTTCAGTCGGGCAAACAACCAACCAATCAAAGTATTTTAATTAGTCATACATTTTTCAATTTATCAACAATCAGTAGGCCTATACAGAAAACTTCATTTTTCTTTTCTTTTTTCTGTTTAAATTCTATATTAAGTACTTACAGATTATTTTACTTTTTTATATTTTTTTGTTTTTGTCATCGGGTGCATTTTTGCAACCAGTGTGGCCATTTTTTACTAGTGCACTCTATAAAATGAAAAAAAAATCACAAATCCTGTTAATCATTTTTCTTATAATTTGTTGTGTAGGGTGGGTATGATGCAGGGTACCTATATGAATGCGAATTTCCAGATGAGAAGAAAAACATGCAGTTGAAGCGAGCAGATCGTGAGGAGGATATTGGAGATCCAACTCAGGCAGTCCCTGTTGTTGACAGTAACGACACTCCTATTACCAACATTACTTTCAGGTAGATTTCATTTATTTTATGTAGGATTTATAAAGTACTCGTCCATTTCAGAAAGAACTGCTCAATGCGCTTTTTCAATCATGAACAATGTACTTACTAAAGAAGGCAGAAAAGACCTAGAAGAATAATTTTTCATTTTGGTTATTACCACTAATTTTTATTCAGTAAAAATGGACAGCAAGTAATCTTTGGCTTTGAAGATGGCTCAATCCGTATCCAGTCTGTGAACCAAGAGGGCTTGAAAGTTAAACCCAATTACTCTCAAGGAGATCTGTCAAATCTTGGGCCACACTGGACATTGACTGTACATGACAATAATTATGGTAAAGTAACCAGTGTGGAAACAAGCATGGATGATCGTTATATCTTCACTACTGGAACAGATGGTAACTTCTTCGTCTATGAATTGATGACTCAAGAACAGATAGAGGAAGCTAAGGCCATTGCTAGAGCTAAAATTCCATCGGCCAAGGTGAGCAATATAGGTTATTTATTGAGCAGTTCATAATACTGTAGTTAATCGCCATTGTCATATCTTCATCATTCTTATAATCATCTTCATCTTTGTTGTGGATATATTACTATTTCATAAAATACTAAATAATGTAAGTCATATAACCTTCTATACTATTAATAACATTGATAATATTCAAAGATCATCATATAATTTAGCTCTTTACCATTGAATGTTCAGGGTGGTTTGGTGTAAATTGCATACAATTATTTATCTTATTTTATCCTTATTGTTTGAGCACATGTTTCACTTTTTTATTGCTCTTTACATTGAATGTTCAGGATGGCTTGGTGTAAATTGCATACAATTATTTACTTTTTTTAAATTTCTAATTGTTTGAGTACATGGTTTCACTTTCTTATTGCTGTAGGCAAAGATCAAGCAAATTATTTTGATCCTCTTTGAACCCGTTGAATCTCACCTTTTAGAAAGAAGACTTAGAAAGAAAAGCTGATGATATTGAAAGCAAAGATCATTACAGCATTGAGGTGGAGAAACAGAAGGCAGAGCACGACAAGATGATGAAGCTAGCAGAGGAAAAGAAAGTGAACGTAAGAAGAACTATAGCTAAGCTGAGACGCCAGTTCAAGAAACTTTTGGACACAAATTCTGATTTACCAGAACATCTGCAACTGGAGAGGAAGGTAAGGGGACAAACAAGGCACGTCTTTGTTTTATAGTTTTTCTTATTTCAATACATAACATTGTATGTACTGACATTGTAAAATGTAGTAGCAAAGTGGGGGTGGGGCACATTACCCCCTATTGGATCTCTCCCTGCTCATCTAAGTGGAACTGGATTGGATTGGATTTATTTGGTGTAAACACCAAGGATAGCCCACGAAAGTCTAGAAGACTTATTTCCAGTGGGGTCCTTCTTGTGGTAATTGGACAGTACACCGGAAGACAATCCCCTACTCTTTTTCCGAAGAGTGTACTGTGTTCTTTAACCTGCACATGGACCAACGGCTTAAACGTCTACTACCCTGTTTATGCTTTCCTGCCACATAAATCTCGCCAAACTCAGACAAAGTCTTTAATTTTTGTCTTTAGTCTTTCTTTCCTGCGACATAAATCTCCCCAAACTCAGACAAAAGTCTTTAATTTTTGTCTTTACTCTTTACATTACACCAACATTTCAATGGTCATTCCTAGAATACTTTATTTACGAACTTCATTTATTCACAGGAGTTTGAGATGGATCCAGAGATCAAGAAGGATATGGAACGGCAAACTGCTCAAAGAATCGAACTTGTCCGTAAAGAATTAGCATGGGAAACGGAAAAGCATCAGATTTCCCTGGACAAATTAAAAAAAAGGTAAATTGTAAATGGATTTATTACTCATCGCTTGGAGAGCCACCTAGATTGTAATTTATTTTACTTTTTGGCATTCCCGCCGGCTCTTACGGGAAACATGAGATTACCTTTTTACAAATTTTATTGTATTTTTGTATATATGTTTGAATATGAAGGCGAAATAAATGAAATCAATTAATAAATGAAATCAATTACATTGAAATGTGCATTGCAGTAGTGAGGCTAAGGGACCGACCCTCTTACATAATAATTAATGTCACTCATATAATTAACTACCTAGAAGGTGGTGCATGATTATATTAGTTTTAGTTATATGATTTGCTACTACTTCCATCTAATAGCAACTTATGAAGGCTAATTTGATTAAGTTTTTGAATAAATAAATTTAAACATTTCGTGTTTTTGGTAATGTTGTCGCTGCGCCATGAGCATCTTTTCATAGGGATGCCGGCGCAAAACAATTTTCCATTACTATTATTATTATTATTATTATTATTATTGTTCAACTAGTTCTGCATATGATAAATGTTACATGTTGTGCATGAGTTATTTTTTATCCAGGAGCCATAAAGTGTGTCATATATAAATGACTATAAAGTGAGCAAAAATCTGTATAAATGATTTAATTTGTTTTCTCAATTCATTCATTTCAATGCAGATTCAAAGATGAACTGGAGTGTGAGAGAATCACTGTCATATCCATCCAGAGTAGTCATGAGGTCTCCACCTTCCGTACATCAGAGCTTTCAGAAGAGTTCTACGAGCTGAAAGAAGACATGATAAGTCGACAAGCAACCAGGACAGAGAGAGGTTTGAGTAGAGACACCACTCGGGAAGCACTAATGAGGCAGGCTAAGAGGTCTGAGAGTGAATCGGATACTATGATAGGCCTAGGTGCCCAGGATCACAAGAAGGCTACTGTGCTTACTGGTAGACTTGGGGAAAAGATTGCTAATGCTTTGCAAAAAGCCGAAAAAATTAAGAAGAAACGGGAAGCAAGACAGGCACAGGTTGGTAGAAGCATTCTTGTGAACAAAGTCTTTGAAATGATCATAATTTTTTCATCAAAACCCATGACTACTTCTAATGACTAAAAAGAACACTCACATTGTACAGCTTACAAAAATCATTAAACTCTATACTCCTTAAAAAAATCCTGTTTTCCATTTGTCTACACTATCAAATTTTATGTGACAAAAAAAAATGTGATGTACCCATGAGGCCATATCGCATACTATTATATTGTATAAAAAAAAAATTGAATGTGCTCAACTCTTTTTTTCCATCATATTTTATGTGACGCTTTTTGATGAAATTTGATAGTGTAGACAAAGCTTTAGTCATTATTGGATAAGACAGTACAGATTGCGGGCAGTGCACTTTTTGGACGCACTTTGCCTGTGGGCAACGCGTTCCACATCCACCAACTTCTTGCATGGGCAAAGCAAACCTTCGATGCCCACGGTTTTTCAAATATTGTATGATTGATTATTATGTTATTTTTAATTTTTTTCTTCCAGTGGGACGAACTACATGCTCACAAGCCACCAGAGGACTACGAAGATCCAAATGATATCCGCGCCATCAAGGAAGCACAAGAGCACATGGGTGACTTCAAGCTGAAGACAGCCAAGGATTACGTCGTGCCGGAACATCTACGCATGAATGCACTTAAAAAACGGAATCAACTGATCATCTTGAAAGAACTAGTAAGTTTTTATATTAAGTTTTTAAAATGTTTAATGTAAATCACATACACAGTAAAAAAACACTTTAAAATACATAGAAACAATACAGTATGTATATATGTAACATATAAATTAAAAAGCAACTTAATGGAAACAACAGCAACAGCTAAAATGTAAAGGTAAGTTAACAGTCAGAAATACAATCAGATATATTCATATTATTTATTGAGAAGATGAATCTGATTGGTCAAGCGAGGAGGAGGACAGTGATGAGGATAGACTAGTAAGTATTTTTTTTTTCTTTATTGAAATATCAATTTAAGATGTTTTAACCAAAATTGGTGTAGTTTTTTTTTAATTTTTTTATTTTGGTTCTGAAACAAATGATTTTAATTTACTGTTATTCTCTGTTGTAGATACATCAACACCAATATGAGTTCAACTGCAAAGTGATTGCTCTGCGAAACAAGAAAGTTCGCATGATCACCGACATAAAGGATTACCTACAGGAGCTTGTAGAATTACAGAAAAACCTCCCACCAGAACAGTGCAAGATGTTACCAACTTGTCCAGAACTTCACCCCTGTGAGGTGCCGGAGAAGTAAGACTTTAAAATTAATGTAAACAAAATAAAAGTATTAATTTTGAAAATGAGATATTAAATCAATTAAATATTGAAATTATTGAAAAGGAATTTGAAAATATATACAGTAGCAGTGCAACATATTCAAATTTATTTATCTATCTATTGATCTATCTATCTATCTATCTATCTATCTATCTATCTATCTATCTATCTATCTATCTATCTATCTATCTATCTATCTATCTATCTATCTATCTATCTATCAATCACTATGTCTATCTATCTATCAATCTCTATGTCTGTCTGTCTGTCTGTCTGCCCGCCTGCCTGCCTGCCGATCTCTATGTCTATTTATCTATTTATTTATTTATTGTTTACTTTCACTTTCAGTACTATTGCACTGATTTTCAAAGTAGTACAGTTTAAACATAATGAAAATATATGCAATATATAGAATAAATCATAATTTGTGAGCCTGAATTAATCCTGTTATTGATTGCAGGAATATGAATATCCTGAGGTCCATTTTGTGATTGTCTGTGACAGAGTGTAATGTTCCTTATATATCTAGATTTACATATAAAATCAATGAAATTTGAGTCAGTCAGTCAGTCATTTAATCAATCATTCCTCTCTCAGGATGGCCATCTCTTCAAGCTTTGCTCTTCTGGGTCATTCCCTTTTGTTTTCATTATTCATTTTATAAAAGGTATCTTGATGGTTTTACTTCAAACGGTGAATAAACTTGAAATTGAACGTGAACTGGATGTGCAATATTGATGTCATTTATCATTCTTATATTTCTTTCATCCTCAATATTTAATATTCAGTTTTTCTTCATTTTGCTAGAATTAATTATCATCTTTCAGAAAATTTGAGTTCACCAGAGAGAGCTTAATTAAGTTCAAGGAGGAAATGGCAGTGAGAGCTGTTAATAAAATCAAGGGTGTTGAGAGCGGTGGATTTGGAGGATTCGGTGGATTTGGTGGAGCAGGAACAGCGCCCCCGACTGCAGAACCAACGGTATCTAGAAAAGATTGCACACTTTTTAATGTATTTTAGATAATATTTGGGTTGTATTTTTTGTTTTGTTTTGGGGACAACCGTTATGGCCAGAAAATATGCAAGCTCTTACATTTTGGGTAAATCTAGACACCTCACTCAGTTGGGCCCTTCCCTGTTTTACTGTATGCTAGGTATTGAGTACTAATCTAATTGATCATATCATCAACCTTTATAATTGTTTTTTTTTTTTTCCTACATTCTCGTATAGAAACAGGATACAGGCACTCCATCCAAAGCAAGTACACCCCTGGCTGCAAAGCAGGTGTCGTCCATGTCCATCAGGTCGTCAGGTGTTTCATTTGAGACTCTGCCATCGTCTGATAAAGCCTTGTCTGCTCTTGAACAGCAGCTTCTCAAAGTAAATGAGATTAGAGTTCTCTTTAGACAGGACACCATCTTGAAGAAAATTGACGAGCTGATCAGGAACTTTGATGCTGAACTTAGAATACTCCGCCATTACAAGTTTAGAGAGGACATTGATCTTAAGAATGCTGAACTCAGGTAAAGCATAGGGGAGTGGTCAGTTCAGCGGCTTGGTTCAGGCTCTCCACCTTGACATTGGTGTTACTAGAAAACCCTCACTGTGCGTTTTGCTTGGTTACTTCGGCAACCTACATTACTTGCATTTGTCTCTCTCCATTCAGGAGTATAAATGAGTACCTGTTATGATGATGTGACATTGAATGTATTAGTCTGTGCGCAAGGGATGTCTAGGTGTATACCTAGGCAATGGTGAAGGTTGCACATATAAAATAGAAAATTCAATGCATAAACGCTTGTACCATTAATGTATGTATCTGTAGGTAACGCAACCTTGTTATTATTTTCAGGCAAGTAACATTGTTTGAGGAGCTGCATCCAAGGCAGTCGTAAGGCCTGTCTCTTATACACATCTAGATGTGTATAAGAGACAGCGGCCCGACAGTGATCTTTTTGCAGCCCACGAAAATTAATTAAAAACCCAATATCTGCAACCCACCAAACATTTTTGACTAGAAAACACCTTGTTTTGGACGGCCCGACACCGATCATCTGTAAAAAGTATTGTTAAAACTGAGAATAAAGTGGTATAAAAGCAGTGCATGAAATTTTTTGAAAGCACACTGTAAACATCAAAGTTTGGTTGTGGTCCTCGGTATTGAATCAAAAAATCACTTTGGCCCTTTAACAGATTTTTAGGCCCACCCCTGTTGTAAACAGTATCAATTATCTATTGTGAAAGCACTTTTGTTTTCTTTCTCTGAACAGCTTGAGAAGCAACAGAAACTTAACGAACTTGACATTGTAGTAACCCTAAAGCTACACCAAGTTGAACATGTAGTTAATGGAGCATTGCCTCAAGATCTCACATCTACCCTCGTATTTACTAACACCAGCATGATCAAGCTTCAGCGTCGTATCACAGAATTGAAAGAAGAGAAAACCACTCAGAGAAGACTTTACAAGTATGTAAACAAGTGGCCACATATCGTCATTACAGCCAGTTACAGAAGTTTAAATTCAGGAGATTTTTACAGTTTTAACAAGGATGAATGAATGATTTTTTTTTTCTGTTAGGCCCTTTTCCCCTTCAAATATATACAGTACACAGTATTATCTATTTAATGGAAGAGTACACACACTTTTAACCCCCTAACCTAGCAATACTTTTGTATACTTTGTGAAAATGGGTCTTTTCAGAGTGTCCCACTAATGTGTCACATTGTTTTGTGGGACCTTAGCAACAATATCCAGGGGGCGGGGCTTAGTGGAAGGGTCCATTGTATGTTTACTAAGCACATTGGTTTGATTGCAGGGAGCACCGACAGTAACATGTGCCAGGGGTCGGGGCTTAGTGGAAGGGTCCATTGTATGTTTACTAAGCACATTGGTTTGATTGCAGGGAGCACCGACAGCAACATGTGCGTTTGATTAAAGAACGCAAGCTGATGGAGACACGCATTGTAGAGCTTGAAGAGCAATGTAAGGAGGCTATGATCCAGAAGTTTGGTTGTGTTGTAGATCTCGAAAAGATTGAAACCATTGGTGTTAACAGGAATATTGAGGAGCTCAAAGAGAGAATTCGACAAAATGAACTTGCTAATTCAAGTGATATTCAAAAATGGCAGGTGAGTGAACACACCTTTTTGCTGTTTATATTATTACTGTATTAATTTTAAAATTACAGGTCTCCTAAATAAAGACCTTTACAATATAGAACACCTCCAATTTTCTGTGGTCCCAAATTAACATATGTTTTTTATCTTTATTATTCTAATTAGTGACTAAAACTGGCAAGGACTATGGAAACCCCAGTCACAATAGTGGTGTTTATAATAGAAGGGAGACCTGTATTCTTAGATTTATGTTATGTTCTTATTATTTAGATAATTATAATATAAGCTGTTTATCAATAAATGTTACTGAAGTATAGTCAGCAGTGTTACTGAAGGCCAAAATATTTCATTTACCACAAAATTATTTACACCATTTAGGAAAAAATTGAGAGTAAAAAGGATCGAATAACAGAGCTAACTAGAGAGAATACGGAAGCTATTCGACGGCTAACCATGCTACTGGGAGAGAACGAAGGATTGGAAAAGGCTCTGGATTCACGACAGAAAACACTGGTATGTTTACACCTGTAATCATGTCTTATAAGGAATTGTGAGTGCTGTGTTGGTTTGTGAATCTTTGAAACACATTATTCATAATAGAGGTGATATGTGATGATAAAAAACACTGCACTTTTAGTAGTTGGTAGATTTATTTAAATTGATTTATTATTAATAATCAAAATTGCATTAGATTTATGATACTTAATGATGATAATGACAACAATGATGATGATGTTAATGATAATCGTTGATTGATGGTAGTGGTAAATAAAAGTGATGATTATGATGATGACGATTGATTGGATGATGATGGTATTGATAGAAATGGTGATTGTAATTTATTAATTGAAATGATGATTATGATGATAATAGCAAGATGATATTCAAGTTTTACATGTATTCACATGTGAAATATACAAGGTATGCATGCTGTCTATGACCTCATCCACGAAATCATCTTATCACATCACATAATTCATTTCATAGTGTTGCTTGCTCTTTGCACGATCTATTATACTGTTAGGAAAATGTAAAATACACTATATCTAATTTCAGTTCCTGCTCACTTCTAGTTTATTTGACATGAAATAATTTGTTTTAGGGTACTTATTCAAATTAGACTCACGAATATCCATGTTTAAAATTTTTTGTGGATACTCCCCCACATAATCATACTCAATCTTAAACAGTTTAATAACCAGCAGATACAGTTTGGTAGTTGTTATTACCCCTCACCATAATGAAGTTTAGTAGAACCCCCAATTAAGGTAAGGTTAGACTTATTAAGCAACCAAAATATTATTCCTTGAAATGGGTGTTCCAAAAGAGGGATATACTGTAATAATAGGAATCTAATCATGTGTTCATGTTTGCTGTGTCTAACTTTGATTGTGTTTTCTTCCTTCATCATTGTGTGCTCATCTTTTATCAGAGTCTTGGACCAGCGTTGATGGTAAATACTATCATTCATGCTCATTACTAATCATATTAATTTCCTTTGAATTTCTTTTCATGAGTAATGTTACAGTAGTTATCATACAATGCATCTTATTTTTTTTTAATAATCAAGCATTTTACATGATACATGTACATTTCTACTAAAACTGTTAATTTGATATGTAGATGACTACATTTTTTCTTATATATATATATATATATATATAGATTATAAGTAAGTTACAAAGGTTTAAACTGTAAACATAGTTGTTATTATTTATGTATTATTTATACAAATTTACACATACAAACCTAAAGTGACAGATTTACTAGTCCTTTGCAAGAATGAACGTAAAAACAAAAATGTTTTGTAATATTTTTCTTAGGGAGGAGAATTCCAAGGCAGTCGTAAGGCAGATTTAGAAGAGAAGCAGCGACTGATACAATTAGTTCAGGTAAGTTAACTGCAGGTTTTGTTGCTTGCAACTACTGTATAACCTCTCAAAGCTGTAACTAATTTCTTTATTATATGGCATTGGCATTTTTTTTTATCTGCAATCATCTTCCCTCTTTCAATCATAATGTAGACCTGTCCTTAATATTAATTGTTTTTGAGTGTAGCCCTTTTTTAATCACACAGTAGAATAAATTTCAACAGATTATATTTAGGCTAGATATTTTATAAGTGTTTTCATTCCTAACAATTTATTGTTTTCATAGCTACAAGCACAAGAGATTGAAGCTCTAAAAGAAGAGATAAGCTTACTGTCACGTAAAGGAGGTCACATTTTACCACCTACCCAGCCACCGATGCCCCCCACACCACATGCCAACAGGCAAGTGGTGTCCAGCAGTGGGCCCACATAAATGCAGAACAAAGTAGTATTACACATAGAATGATATATTATATTAAACATATAACAAAACACATTCTATTGCTTTTAATTTTTGATTTGTAGCTTATTGTGTACAGTATATTGAAAAGTTTGTATGATTCTTATTGTATCACCCACTTAGGGTAGCCTAAATAGACAAACATAAAATTAATATATTTATTGTTTATGTAATTATATTGTTTATATATTAGTATCAATAATTACATTAACTCCAAATCAACCGCAAAAATATAGTTCATGCTTTTATTTTCATGAAACTTGACTCCCTTTTTACTTACTTAAGCAGTTGCAGCCTACCATTAAGAGTTTATCATCGAACCAACCACAAATGAAAACAAATGTCATACAATTTCATGACAGTAATTCTGTGTATTCGTTATCCTCAGATAACTCATTCATAATTAGAATCCGTCCATGATTAAATAATATATTGTATGCAATTCTTTAAAAATATAGACTGGATATTTTTGTAGTTGGAAATTCTGCATTTAAAGAAAACATTACAATGAGATGAGTTTTGTTGTTGCAATACAGTACATACCATACCATTTAAATTAAAAATTGCATATGCATATATTTAATAATTTACCTATTTTATAATTCCGAATATATTTTGTAAATATTTTTTAAGTAATTCAGGACCAAACCAATACTTTTAATCCGTCCAAGAATAATATGAAAGTATCTTCCTTGCATTTAGAGATAATACCAAATGTTATTTCAGAGTGATATACTGTATTGTTATTGTGAGAAATATAAAATGAAGAAAAGCAAGGTTGGCATTGTCTTTCTTTATTATCACATTGTGCTAATTATACAAATTTATACAGAAAATAAACACCCGAGTGTCAATCAAACTTAACAATTGACAAATCAGAACATGGCTAGGAATGTGCGCGCGTCCCACAAACGCACGTGTATGCGAATGTTTTAACACTCGTTTTGTGGGACCTTAGCAACAATATCCAAGGGGAGGGGCTTAGCAGAAAGGTTACTTGCCATAGCAACCAAACAAAGCAACATAGTGGAATAGAGTGTAGTGAGATATTGTACTGTACAAAAAGAATTCTATGGATTTATACAATTTACATTATGGGCATTTACAAAAGGGCATTGAAAAATTGTTTGACACGCTGCAATTTGTTAATTTTTGCAGGAACTCAAGGTGTTAGAATGTCGAGGAAATTTCTGAAGTTGTATGATTCCACAAAATATTTCATATACAAAAAATATTTTCGGTAATCTTATTCTAGGTTTGATTTCATGTTGTTTTCAGCATTTCTAAAACAAGTCAAATAAATTATTGTTACAGTTTCATTTAAAGACATCAAGTTACAAATTTATTATTATCAAACAATATTAATATAATTATATAATAAAATATGAGCATTGATATAGACTGGGAAATTATAGGAAATTATCATGCCTGCTTGAGGGATGTGATCACAGGGAATGTCTGCAATGGTTACATAATCCTTGTCAAAACATATGTCTGTCACAGAGGCATATAATTCCCAGTGCAAGTCTACAGTGTCTGGATATTCTTTGCTCTAATTATGCCTCTCATCTCTTTGAGCACCTGGGTTCACAGAGTGAGCCTATCAGCATCTGGAAAGTCTTGGCTATAATCGTGCTCATCTGGCTTCTCCTTGAGGGCGTTGTCTAGTTTATTCTCCTCAGCCAATGTACGGAAATGCTGAAATTTAAAGTTGGATATGTTTAATTTGCATAGCACATTATTTATTCATTCATTCATAAATGAAGACGAATAAATAAACAACAACACAAATGGATTGGACATTCAATTAGACAGGACTGCCTTCTAAAAATTGTCTTAGGTGTATATATAGGAAAACCGACTAGAGGAAGGAAGAGATGTGCTTTCCCGGCTAACATAGAAAAGGGAAACACACACGATCAGTTAAAGACAGCGGCTATAGATCGGGAGAGATGGCAGGAGTGGTTGCCATGAACCTGCCAATTGGTAGATGATGATGATGATAATGAGCACATTATTAAAGTATGTTCACTTGTGCAAGATGTTTAAAATTTATACTAACCTGAGAATTCTTAAACTCAGAGTAGAGCGTGAACAGTACATGCAATGCTTGTATTTTACTCTGATAAATTGGAATATCAAGAATTCCACAAATCATTTCTACATATTGGTCTAATGAACAATCAATATCTGCGGTCGGTAATCCAACTTTATTGAGAAGGTCTTCAAATTCTGGCGGCCATTCCTGCATCAACATCTCAATATCTGGCATTGTCCTATATTCAAATGAAGAAAAATGAGACAGTGTTAATAACTGGTTACTTCATATTATGTAATCATAATGTAATTCAAAATACAGTATTTTATTTATGCCTATGTAATGCTAAACCCTAAGCAAACATTGTTAACTATACCAAAGAGTATAGAAACTGCAAGAGGTCCGATTCTTGTTGTTTCGTTCCACTTTTAAAAAGTACTACCATGAAGTTGCGTGTCCTTCAAAAAACAAGATTTGAGCGAACTTTATTCAAATTATATTTGGGAGCTCCCTATCTTGTGGTAGTACTGCGTGCATACAAAATGAGGGCAATCAGACTTCTTGCAATTCTATACTCTTAGATTATACTTACTTGTTATAATGAACAGTGGGTGGTGGTTTTGAGCGGTGTAGATCACTAATACTTTCTATCCAGTTCTTGATTTGTTTTGGGTTTTTATCGGCATTCTCAATGCTTCTCACTTGCATGGATTTTGTCGTCGTCTGCTTTGAGATTGCACGCAGCTGCAGGTCTAGGACTGTGGGGTCAGACTGTTTCGCACAAGGCTCATCCAACACTGATAAACCTAAGGTATCCGGCTTGTTATCGGGCCTAGAAATCTATAGTTGAAATATATTATAGAGACCTTTATTACGTAATATTGAATGTATAGCCATAGTATAGGAATTAGCATTTCCCCACCACCCCTCCCCCCCCATCAACGTTTCTATGCAGCGTAAAAGTGAAGTTACATGACTAAAATTGTATAGTATTTCAACTTAAAACATTTTGGCCAAATGTTGTGTAGTGAATATGTATAATTAATATATCAACTGTGATACTTTTATTACTATGAATTGTTGTTCACTTTTGTAGGAACGTATACAGGGGGTTCCCCCCCCCCCCACTATTTGTACAGTGTTAGTATTTTAAAGCTTGTTCTTGCCATTACAAAGTCTTTCCTTAGATTGGATCACTCAAAATGAATACTACACATGTAGACCTAATATGTAAAAATAGTGTCTCTTCATCTAGAAGTCTATTACCCCACCTATGCCCTTTGCTTGAAAAATAATTACCACAAAATTCATAATTAAAGTACTACAGTATATGAAATTTAATAATCAAAGGTTGCAAATATGACACTAATATTTTGGGGTATTTTTTTATTTTTTAAGATTTTGAGTAATTCTGGTTTAGGCAACACAAACTAAGTGAATC